AACGGTGATCCTACAGGCTGCATCTCAGTGCTGTCACAATTTTACATAAAGTCTGAAATCAGAAAATATTTTATGTGTTGAAAGGCAATCTTTTAGATATGTAAGTATACTAAGTAAGTATTATTGTTGAAACTAATTAGCAAATGCCTGCTACATTTATAACAAATCAATAAAGGATAAGTAACAACAGGTTTTTATTACATTAAACGTCAATTGCATTTACAATCTATTTTGAAGTCTATGTTTATTTAAAATAACACGTATATGCTGGCTGAATTAAGCTATAATAAAATTTTTTCAAAAACTGAAATAATATATTAAAATATTTATAACATATATATATATAATTGTAAGTCTTTAACTGATTGATTTCCTTTCATAAATAAGAAACTGTATCCAGAAAAAAAGGCTAAAACGGCAACCGTGTTGCATGTCCTCACAAAAGCGAGATGCCGCAAGTTGCAGGGGCGGGTGGAACGTTCGCGGCTTGGCAGGGGTTGACTCTTGTTGTTGTCACCGGATGGTTGATTATGCTGCATAATAAAAGGGAATGCCACCAGGCCACTTGCCGCCCCCGTCTCACAATTATTTCCCTGTTTTTATTGGTAAATTTGTGTTTTCATCGGTTTCTATTGCACAAAAAACGGAAAACATTCCCATGCTTTTGCCCGTTCCAACCCTGAACTTTGCTTTGCGGTCACCGCGGACCTTGTGGGCTGCGGAAAATGGGAAAAATGGGGGAAAAAAACGAAAAGCGAAGGCGAAAAGCGCTAACGGAAAACGTTCGACAGTCGACGGTTCAGTCGAGCGGACCGGTGAGTCAAAAATTGTAACCGGCCTGGCTGCCTCCCTAGTTTCCACCCTCCCACAAATTACCCACCCTATTATTCACACTGAAAAAAATGTTTTTTTCTTGAAAATAATTCCGAATATTAAAAATTTTTTCATTATGTTTAAAAAAATGTGCCACTTGTATTTTTGTATAAATTTTACAATTTTACTTTCATTTGTAATATTTTCGTTGCAGTTGGCTTGCCAATGTTTCCTTGGCAACCTTTATGTATTTTTTTCAGGCTCTTTTTTGCTAAAATATACTTATGAAATGCATGTTTTTTCAGTGCACCTCCCCATATTTTGCCGGTGACGTCGGCAACGGCGCGCAAACGCAAAACCGCTGGGGCGTGAACTCCTGGCGACGCCCGCTCCCCGCTCCCCTCCCGCTCCTCATCCATCTATCCGTCCATTCCCCCGTCCGTTTATCCAGTGGCGTATCTAGGGTTACTGTCGCCCGGGGCAAAGTGGAAAATTTGCGCCCCCCTACCCCTCTGCCTAACGAACGTGACAGATTATTGTTTTTCAAATTAATAACATTTAAAATATTTTGAGTATTTGAAGGTTTATTAAGGGTAAAGTTTTTTTTTTAAATATTTTTTTTTAGTTTTATTTTCTAAAGACCAATATGTTGAGAATATTGTGTAAAAAATTTTAGTCAGAGTCAAACTAACGGAGTTACAGCGTTTTAAACGACCGAATTTGGACGTATTTTAACGTATAAAAATACTTTGAATCGATTTTCCCGAAAACGTTATTTTGAAAGTCGGTAAACATCAGAACTCAAAATCTACCGAACCAATCCTCTTCAAATTTTTAACACAAAGGCTCCACATAAATATACAGGTAATCAAGAAGAGTTTTTTTTAATTTTTAATTTTTTACTATTTTTTAAAAATAAATTATCTGCGATTTTTTGAGCTAAAATCGCACTTTTCACTTCCAAGTGCTATAATCATATAGAAAGATCAAAAAATATATATAATAATATATATAACGTCGTTGTTTTTAATCCCACGAGCAAAATATGGATTTTTTAATGACCCTTGAATTGATTAAAAAATTTCATTAAAATCTGACAACGTAGTTATATTGCTGCCATAGGAAAGATCGAAAAATCTATATAGAAATTATGGAAACTAAATTATGACATCGTCGTTTTTCATCAGAATGGTTTTGGTATATAGAGTTTTCTATCAACTCTGGAAATACGAATTAAACAATAGTCGAAAATTTGAAAAATTTATAGAAAAATCGTCATAGCTTCGATGATGTTTAGCCTTTATGCATTTTTTCCGACATATTTGATGACTGGGCATATAAGCTTCGGCTTGCCGAAGCTAGCTTCCTTCTTGTTATAATTATTTTGTTAGATGAACATGATTTTTCGAAACATACAGTGTAATTCAAATACGATTTTGCGCCCTTTAGATTTGGCGCCCGGGGCACTTGCCCCTTTCGCCCCCCCCTAGATCCGCCACTGCGTTTATCTAGCCTGTTTACTCTGGCGCGGCTTGTCTAGCATAAAGCTACCTTCTTGGCCGCCGTTCGGAGATTCATTTCGCCGAGTCGAGTCTCGGATACATATTCAATTTTATGCTTGGCATGTGCCGCCAAGGTAAACTTTGCCCCAGCGTCTGGCGCGGACTAAGATTCAGACTCAGACTCGGATTCAGATACAGATACAGATTCGGATTTGGATTGCGACTGAGAGTGAGACTGCGAGGCAGAGGCGGATTCAGATGCCGTTTTCAATTCCCGTTCGCTGTGGAGACTTTGCCCGCTGATTACTTGACATATGTTCGAGGTGTTTGCTTTGTGCGGCGGCGTGTAAAACTGTTTTGGTTACTTCTTCCGGTTCATCTTGGCTTTTCGGGTTTCGGGGCCAGTCGAAGGTTAATTTTGGCCAAGCTGCGCTGGCAAACTTCCTTCCGACCGCCCCCATCCCCATCCCCACTTCCATTTTCCGCCCCACTCACCTTCTGGAAGTCACGGTTCTGCGTCTTGCGAAACTTGACAGCTGCGTGATAAATGAAGCGCATGAACGACACAGAATGCAACAGCAGCAGCGGAATCGCAAGACGCCGCGGCAACAACAAGCGACAAAATAGCAAAGCAGCCCCATTGACCTGGCCAAGAGTCCTCTTTCTCAGCTGGCCAAAACAAAACCCCGCCCGCCCTCGGGCAACCCCTTTCTCTGGACAAGTTTGTAACAAAATTTACTAATTTAATTTTTGCAATTTGGTCGAGTTTTTGCCTGCTCTTTTTGCCGCTTCCACCCCCTCCCTCTTTTGCATGTAGTGCAGCCACCGCTGCCCACTCACCACCACCCACCGCTTGGCCCATCGCTTGCCCCGCTCAAGGATGTCGGCAACGTGCTGCCAGTGGCACTTGCAACGTTTCGCGACTGATGCAAGGGGCACGTTTCGTGAGCTGAACTGCGACTGGGGCGACTGACAAAAACTACACAAGAGAAAAGTATTAAAGTAAGCCACTACCTTTCGTTGATTTTCTCTTAAAAGTTTTCGTAAAATTCTTTGTAAATAATTAGGAATAAATAAGAGATGTTTATTGTGTGTTCATTAACAAGTTAATCTATTTAAATTACCCAAGATGGTTTCAAACATGTTTTTATTTAGAAATTTCACTATTGAAACCCTTTTTCTTTCTGTGTAAGCTAGCACCATCATCGTGGCAACTAATGTTGCATTATTAAGTTTCGAACTTTGTTGTGGGGCGACATCGTGCTTCCGCCCCACAAAAACAGCAGCAGCAGCAGGAGCTACATCCTTTCGCCTCATTGCTCGGAAGATGCAGCTGAAGGTGTCAATTCTATGTACACGTATATATAGAATGTGTGCACCTTGTTAGATCATTAAGAGTCCATTAGTCATTAAGTACGCCGGCGAATGTCAGTGCAGCTGTTGTCATCCCCCCACCCAATTTTCCATCTCCTTCCCATTTTCCCTCCCTCCCTGCGAATATATGAAATTCCATTTGATTTTAATGGGAAATTTGTTGGGTAAGCGAGCCTTGGAGCAAGTTTAGGGGGTGGGGGAGGCTTTTGGGGGCCGGTCGCATGGTGGCATGCTTCAAAAATCTTGGCAGTTAATAGACACCTGACTGCCGGCGCTCATGTGGAAGGAGCGATAGGAGCACGGCAGCCGATGAGCATGTGAGCCACTCGGCTTATCTGCGCCGGAAAATGGGTTAACAGGGTGTTTCGGCCGGGGCTCCTGCTACAAATTAGCTTGGGATCGAAAACAGCGGCCAAGACCATAAAAATCCCGGTTACTTTCAGTTACTTTCGGTTACTTTAACGGTTTTACGACCAGCGTGCGGGTCCCAAAACGGTTAATTAAACGTTGTCTCCTTAACAACAGGGTGTGTATGACCGATAAGGAGGCCAAGGGGTGCGGGGTTCCGGGGTTCCGGGGATCGGGGCTCGAGTCACTCGGGCGTGAAAACTAATTGTAGACCAGAGCGAGCCAAGTCGAGAACGTATTCGGATTACCCACTCGAAAGAAGGTTGGACGCAGAGCCAGCCAAGCGTTTAAAGCGACATAATCACGGAGAAAATGAACTTGTGGAAACAATAACAAAATCTTGGGATGGCATGCGATAAACGAAGTGTGTTAGATATGTCAAAAGACTTAACTTAGTAATTATGGAAAAATCAAATTCTAAACTTCTCTACTTAAAAATAGAATATGAAAATAGATAAATTAATATAGATTAATTTAGATCTAAAGAGAACTTATCATATATAAAGCTTTAAGAATGCAGTTTAAAATAATCTAGTAAGAAACCTCAAAGTAAGGCTTTGTTATTTCTGTACTGCTTCTGCTTGTAGGTAAAAATTTCACTCATTTAGTCACTGAAATGTTGCCAAGCCAGAACGTGCAACATGGCAATCGGAGTCAGCAACACGCTCGAACCTTTTCGGGTGGCTGCCACATTCGAGCGCATGAAAAAACGTAAACACAACAGGTTCGAGTGGGTTGGCGTAGGTCGCTCGTGTTTCATCGGGTTGGTTCCCAGAGAGAAGTCTCTCAGTTTCTCTCGGCCAACATTCCCCAGTCGGATAACAGTGCTGTTAGCGAACGACGGGGCTAACATTTCGTATCTGTGAAGTACGTATCTGCGAGGCCCCTAGTTTCAGTTCCAGGTTTCAGTTAATTTCGGGACATCGTGCGGATCGAACGTCTGGCGCTGCGTTCACGCGACTTGTACGCTGCAGGGAACCAGTAACCAGTGACAGTGAGCACTAACCAGTAACCAGTAAACAGTGACAGTGACCGGTGAACAGTGACTAGTGAGATTCGAACAGTGAACGAGTAACAGGCCGAGAACCGAGAATTGTTGCACATACGGGGAATCGGAATCGCATGGATATTGAATGAGGTATAGCCGAAGATATATGGTAAATAAAGTGTTATGCGTGCGTGTTGTTTTTCCTGGAGTCACGTGTCAGCGGATTTTGATCCGGATTGTTTTGTTAACCTTGCTATTAGCAAGTGTACCGTGTGCTGAGTGCCATCATCTGAATGCGAGTGTGTGTGGAGGTGCCGGGAACACTTTGACACAGTTTTACTTCGGGCCCAACTCCCGGCCATCGGTTATGGCGTGTCCTCGAAAAAGCAAAAAGCAAAAAAAATGAAAATAAAGTCACAACTACAGTGAACGGCGAACGTGGAAAGGAGCAGCAAGGACGAGAGTAAATCTCGGCGAGGCGAAAGCGTTGTGTTTTCATTGTCGTCGTTCGCCTTTGGCTCATCAATAAAAATTTCCTTGACATTTTATGAGCCAAAGGATTCCGAGCTCACTTTACTTACTCCATTCAGCGGAATGGCCAATATATTAAATGCGACAACGGATTAAACGCTCGGTTGCCCTTTTTATGTCCGCTTATATTTATGGACAATTATTTAAAAAATTGCCATTCTCCGAAAGTTCACACACATTTACGGCCAGTGAATGTTTTATGGGATCGCCAAAGGAGTTGAAGTCCTCCGCAGAAGTTTAGTTCCTTCGCCCGAAAATGGTGGGGGAAATTTAATTAAGCCTCTCCGCGATTGTTTATAAATTCATGTTAATGATATTTGGGCGGCCGTGGGGAAACACTTTCCCCCCTCGAAGATGCCGAAAAGTATCTGCAATTACGTCGAATCGCTGGGCGCGAATTCCGCTGGCAAAGTTGAGAGAATTTTCCGCTAATTGTTTTCCGTCAAGGAGCCGATTCGCAATCGTCGCCAGCTGCGCGGCAAAAGGACTCTCGCCTCCCCTCGGTTTTGATATGCAAATGGCCTTAAATTCCACACTCGAATTGAAACGAAATTGCCTAAAAGTTTCTGTTTTCCGCCCCAAAATAAAACAGACGGCACGTGCGGCGGAGTCGTTTAATTTTAAATGCCAAACATTTTTATTAATGGTTATTGCCGTGAGTGGCGAGAGTGCCTTTGTGGGTGTAATAATCGAAGATTGTTCTGCCATTAGGAAAAGCCTTCGACAACTTAAAGTCGGCCCTGCGAGTCCTTCGAAATATATTCCTGCAAGTGGCAAGTGGGAAGTGACTCGAACCGAGATTGAATCATCATGCCGCGCATCAAGCAGACATTCATTTAAATATTTTGACAAACTTTGACGACATTTCGCGCAATTTCAACGCAATGTGTGCGATCCATCCTTATTCGAGTCCCCTTTTTCCCCCCGCAATGATGTGCGAGTTTGGCCCGGCATTTATATCAATTTCTTTATTCCTCACGGCTTTCGACTGCCGCCTGCATTTTGGCAACGAAAATCTACGGTTTTTCGGCAGGCAGGAGTTGCTCTAGGAAATTTATGTCGTCTTTTATGGCTACGTGGCTCGTAAATAAGAAAAATGTTGCAGCACCACCCGAATATCGGGGTTTTATCTTTTGCACATGTGGTGGCAAGTTAGAGCGGAGTTAGAGGAGGCTTTCCTTTCATCCACCGTCCACATCCGTGTTGCCACCCAATCAGCATTTTCCAGGAAAATCTTAGGACGATAGCAGGAACAATTTCATATTTCGCACGACATTCGGTCCGAATAACTGCCTGAAATGGCACATTTAATATTTGATTTGTTTATTTGATTTCCTTTACTACAGCCTGTCCTTGACAGCAGACTCCTGAAAAGGCTTACTGAAAATCGAATTAAAAATTTTCGCAAATCAAATTGGTTTTTGCGAGACGGAGCAGAAATTACTTATCTCCAAATGAAAATAAACGAAAATGTTTAGAATTGCGAAATTGTGAAAATGTGAAAATGGGGAACGGGTGAATGAGGGAATCAGTGTGTAAGTGTGTAAGTGTATAAGTGTGTGCGTGTGTGTGTGCAGAGGAGCATGAATGGAGAATGAGGAATGGGGGAAAGGGGCGGAAGCGAGGGCCAAATTAGTTTGTTTGGCGAGTACGGGCGAGTAGAGTGGACCAAAAAACAAAGCCTAGTTCGTTAAACCCGCCCGCTTATGAATGTATAGTATAGTACGAGTATATGGCCGACACACTCACATGCCGATTTACCTTTTGTTGTTGCCGTGACTGGCCAAGCAGAACGCCTCAGCGTTGCGTTGGATTTTATTCCATTTTCGGTTCGCTTTCAGTCTGCATTTTATGCACAGAAAAAAAAAAAAAACATTTTTACTTTTTAAATGAGAATAGAGAACTATAAAGGTGTGCTGCAAAAGAAATTGTAATAATGAAAGCTGCTTTACATTTTAATTATATAAGGTTTACTTAGAAATAACCATTCCCTTTTGAAAGGACCTTCCTTCGAAAGGAGATCTAGGTACTTCATAGTTTTTAATAATAAGCAACAGACTTATGTATTGGCAAGCACTTATGAATATTTTCCCATAGTGTATGTGGCGTAAGTTTGGAAAAGCAACACAAACTTCCACCCCTCGTGTTTCGGCTGGTGCAACTGCTCGGAGTTGCATCAACAAATGGAGCTGCAGAACAGAACAAGCTATCCGAACCGCCCTCCGGTATTTTCTCGTTTTTGTTAACCAAATTTGAATATTAAAGCAGAATTAGCCGAGTGCAGCAAGTGCGGCCCGCCCCCTCAGTTCGCCCTCAGTTAGCCGGAAACGGAAGTGAGCCTCTGAAAAGGGAATGAGAGGAGGAGTGCTTACCTAGACAGGCAATTAATGGGAATTATTGATATGCTCGGGAGGACGAGCATGGCCGTGTCCTGCCAAAGGGTCCTTGAGTCAATAGCTGCCCTACTCCAGTTGGCGAATTTCCTGGGAATTCCAATCTCGGCTAGGCTTTCCTTTGCCTTTGAATGCGGCCAGTGGTGTTTTCCACGAATCGATTGCATCGACTTGCGTTTTCGCGGAAAAATAGTGGCAATTAGTTGCGATTTAGTTGGCCCCGTCAATTTGCATATTGAATGCGGGCAATCGGAAGTCGTTTTCCGAGATCCACTTGCTCTAATGAGCCACTCCGTTGCGGGGGTGTTGAAATCCAATAATTGGAAATCTGAACTAGCCACCGTGAAGAGATTGCAGAAAAACAAACAAACAAACACCTAACAGCTAACAGCCAAACAGAAACATGGCAAAAACAGAAGAACAAGTAACCGAGCCAAATGGGCGGGGAAAACAAAAAAAAAAAATAGGCAAAAAGTGAGCAGTAAGCGTTAGAATGGCACCTGCCACAGAGTCTGCGGCTAAAATTTCAAATTTCCATTTAGAAAAACACAACAGTGGGATGCAAATAAAAACAAATTTCTGTGTGTGGCAGCTGCAAGCGCAACTTTTCCATTGTGCCCCTAGTTTATTTTGTATTTTTCTCATATTTTTGTCGAATTTTCTTTCCCCCTTCCCCGCCGCGCCTTCCACAACTTTTCATTTCGTATATTGTTTTTTCCACTAGGCACAAATTAATTAAATGCACTCGACTGTGATTTATGCGATCCTAAGGGGCATCCCGAGTGAAAAAGGGGGAAGTTTCACCCGGGGCAAGATAAGTCAGTAAACAGGGGCTGCTGCAATTAGGCGGAAATATCGGGGAGCTGGGGTTTTCCACTTGATCCCCTCCACGGGCGGGCTGTGATCGCCCATCATGTGTCTGGCATTTAAAAGCCAAATCCACTTAAGATTAAGTTATCACTCTGCTGCCTCATTGTTGTTGTTATGTGATGATGATTTAGCCCTCTGAATATTTCGTTGGGGTATAATGTATTTATGATACCATGTAACAAAAACAATTTGTAGCTGAACTTATCAGAAACATTTTAAAAGAGCTTCTGAATCATTGTAGAAGTGCTTAAATATGTTTCCTTTATTATCAATGCTATTTAACTTTCTTTTAAATACAAAATTCAACCTACATAAAACTGACGGGTATCTTTCAGGTCGAGCTTTAAATTCGGATTGTCTCCGATGGCAATCAAAAGCGAGTTGGAGTCAAATGTCTAATAATTTTCAGCTTAAAAATTCATTAGATACAAATAGCCGGACCCATATCAAAAGCCACAAAGCCAAAGCCACAATGGACCACTGGGAAGGTCCGAGATGATTTACTCTTGGCGGAGCGAGGGCTTGTCCGCTTTTTGACCCTGGCTCGCTTCTCCTGGCTAATTTCGCACTAATTGATTTCTTTTTGGACCGGTCGACTGGGGGAGCGATGCCGAAAGAAGCTTTAATTGAGCGACGCCGCCCTCCTCGGAGGCGGCCAAATGGTTTCTTCCGCGCTCGACACGCGTTGACAGTTGGGCCCGTCATAGTTTTTGTGCGTAGTATTTGCCTCCTGCGGCAAATCGAAAACTGAGCGCAGTCAAAGTCTCATTAGCTGATGACTTTGATGGCCGCACCACACCCCCTTCCCACTTCCCACTTCCCCCTTCCCTCGGTTGTCTTGTCTCGCCTCTGATTGGGTTTTAATGCCTTTTGGCAGCCGAACATTGTCCACGATTCGTTTACAGAAGTTCCATAATTTGTCGCTGCCTCTGATTGATGGGCCGCGATCCCGATCCCCCTCCTTCTTCTTGGCTTTCGGGCCCCGTCATTTGTGCCAGCTCATAGTCTGTCATCTGTGGCCATTACCTAAACGATTTGCCTCTAAATCAGCTCCCCAAGATTCCGATCTTCGCCCGGCCGCTTTCACATTTTCCACGCGCAATTTGCCACGCACTGCGAATGTGGAGGCACGTGTTGCAGAAACGCCTTCGTTTCGACCCCTGAACTGGCGAGTACTGATTGTTACTACACTGGAAAATAAATAAAGGTGTGAATAAGATTTTAAAGTTTACCATACAGTAAATTTATCAAAGTAAAAGAATATTATTAGAAACAAATCTAGTTAATATAGAGTTCTTTTATATTCCACTAATAGTTTTGCATATAGTTTGGTACTAGTATTATAAATGTTTACTA